CAAATACTATTCATAGTTGTGTACCACAAGTCTTATAATCATCTTCAATTTCTTGCAAAAAATTATTGAAAGACAACCTATCAAAGTTTACTTCCTGATCATCTAGTTTACTAATATAATTAATATTAATAATGCAAAGTTGATATAAAATTTTATCTTTTCTGTAAAATTTATAAAGAGATAGTGATAATACAGTAATATGATAAGTTAAAACAAATCTAAATTCCTTATCCGTATCAACTTTATTATTTGCTATTACATTAGAATCACTATTTTTATTGTTTTTTGTAGTATTATTTTTAATTAAAACAGGTTTTGTGCGTAATAATGCATAAAAAGAGCAATCTTTTACATAGAGTCCTAAAAAAATTATTATAATGTTACTGTATGTATATGTATATATAACTTTTATTATACAAATACCAACCGCTTGCAATATATGAAAAGGTCATGTGATCGTTAAGTGTTAATGAAGGTAAAAAGTTGATAATTCTAATGTGATATTTTATTGCAACAGCACCTTGGTGCTTATATGGTACACCTGACATTTCAATAGAACAATCACACATTCCAATAGCACTATTTACATTATAAATAAGACCTGTTTCTTTTCTTGTACTTGGTATTAAGTAGTCATCTGAATTTGCTAGCTTACAAATTGAATCTTTATTAACATCCTCTTAGCCAGGACACAAAAATCTCTTTGCAATTTCCATATGACCAGGATGTCGATGTGCAAATCTATAAAGACAATACTCATAAAACTATTCCATATTTTTAGTGACAAAATAAAAAACCTGAACTGAATTATATGCTTTAGTTCTTGCGAAGATAATATCTTTAAGCAAACCAAAACCATGTTCAATATAGTTATTTGTATGGTTACTACGCAACAATAAATTTAACCAAAAATAATGAGCCTAATATTGCTGTCAGTTCTAAAGGCATTCAAAATATTTTGCAAGCAATAGATACAGTTGATAATAATTATTCTTTAATTCTTGATAATTATTATTTATATTATTTTCTGTGCGAGAGTATAAAATTTTTTTCATTTAGTTCATTATAAGTATTCGATGTTCTTGATTAATACTATGCTTCGAGTTGTAGAGCCAATGCTAGAATGTCTGCAATACATGGAACGTACATAAAAGTAAATTAGATTGCGGCTAACAAAGTTTTAATGCATTTCTTTCTGAAGCTGAATCATCAGTTAAAATATTTTGAGGCCTAATATTACGCCTACGACCAAAAAATACATGTTCGAAAATAATTAATTTTAAAAGATTAATTGCATTTTTGATTGTCATTTCAAGTTTGTCAGATGTAATTAATAGTCCTAATGGTAATGCACCTGCTATATAACTTGTATATAAGAGTATTATTGATATATTTAGTGGTTCGAATAATGCAGAAGCATCTACATAACAAATTTTACCAGCTTCATGAATTTCCTTATGCACTCTACTCATTAACCTGATAACAATATATAATATAAATGCTTTTCCTATTCGTGAGTTATATTCTTGAAGAATTGCTCGACCATGACCTAATGTATTATAATCTGAAACTGCTTTATTCAAATATTGAAACATCAATACACCGTTTTGTCCACCAAGCTGAGAATTACGATAATATTCAAAAAGGTGCATAACATACTTATAATCTGAGTTAATTGCACAATCAGCAAGATTTTTGACAAGTTTTTCACTTGATGAAGCTAAAAGATATAATTCATCTTCATAATTATATAAAGCGGAGGCAGGTGAGTAACTATCGTGAAATATTTGAATAAGTTTATTGCATATTTCCTTATTTACATATCTAAAACTAAGTAACTCAGCTGAATTAATGACATGATTATGTTTAAAACAAATATTAATCTCCAAAGAATAGCTAGTATTTAAATGCCAACATTCTAATCGCAAACATAAGGTTACTAAACAACCTATATTTCTATTACATGCTGATTCCAGATTCTTTCTTTCAGGGTCACCTTGTTTTTTCCTAACAATCTGACTATGAATACAATGTCTTGATTCTCAGAAAATAACTCGTTTGCCCTTAACTCCATATCTCTTAGTTTGTAGCATTGTTGTTTTCGAATATTCTTCAAAAGCAGCAAACCATTCTTTTATGCTTTCCATGGTTAAAATATTAACAAATATATTGGCTTCAAATTGTTGTACTTCAAAACCCTCATATGTATAATATAGTAGCAATTTTATCATATGTCGAATCATATAACTATAATTCATGGGAAAAACTGCTTGTAAAAAATCTGGCAATAAATCCTAAGAAAAAATCTAAAAACAAATATTTTTTACAATATTACTATTTTGTATAAAAAAAAAAAAAAAAAAAACTTAGATTGCCTCTTTAAATTTGATTTATCTCACAAGGATTTTCATTATCCATATGATTAGCAAGAGTTGTAGTGTCTTGGTTTGCTTCATAAGAATTAACATTCGATGCAGTACAGTTGATCTTTATTATAAGAATAAAAATACAAAAATTTAAAAATTTACAATGATTAAATAATAATTAGTAAACAAAAAGCAAATATAGCTTTACAGTAACTTACTTCAATACTATTATCCACTCCAATATATTTATCTACTCCAATACTGTTATTTACTTCAATACCGTTATCTGCTTTAATACTGTTATCTGCTCTAATACTATTATCTACTTCAATGTCTTTATCTACTCTAATGCCTTTATCTACTCCAATGCTAGCTAGGGTATTCATTTGCATTACATTGTTCATTAACATATTGTTTATATGATTTGAAAACGTATCCCTTTTAAGTGTATAAGTTATAAATGAATTTTTCATATTATGTGTGAAAGAATTCTCTATATTATATATGAAAGAATTTTCTGTATTATGTGTGAAAGAATCCTCTATATTATGCATGAAAGAATCCTCCATATTATATGTGAAAGAATTTTTTATATTAGTATTTTCTGTATGATTTGTAAAAGTATTTTTTATATAATTTGTGAAAGTATTTTCTATATGATTTGTAAAAGTATCTTTCCCTCTGTAATATGCAAATATATCCTTATCATCCTCCAAATAATTAGTAAATAAAAAGGTCATGTTTCGTGAGTGCAAAAGTTATTTCTGCTATTTTTAAATATAAAGTAATATGAATTGTACATAAGTTAATACAGTATATTAACAAAAAATTCCAGATCCATTAATTACTTATGTAAAATTAGTTTTTTTTTTAAATTTTTTTTTTATTTAATTTTTTTTTTTTTTTTTTTTTTTTTTTTTTTTTTTTTTTTTTTTTTTTTTTTTTTTTTTTTTTTTTTTTT